TAGTAAATTTTATTGAACTCATCCACTGCATTCTTGGGGTATTCCAGATGTTACATTTCGTTTAAGAAATATCATAGTAACATAGTTGTTCCTTTATAAATCACATAAAATAGGTTGAGAAATAGAGAAATTGGAACTGAGAACTTTCTGGATAAATGATTCCATCGAACTAATCTACTACTTACTTTGGGATCTAAAATTTTAACTTTTCATTTGTGGAATCATTTTCTTGTAACAGTGTAATGTTATAGCAGACATGAAAATATTTATATAACATTCACAGAGAAACCAAAGTTTAAGATTATTGGGTTTTGCTATTTTTTGATGAATCATAAAAAGAGACACAAATTTCAAATGTTGCTATTTCACATAATGACTTTGTAATGTTGAATTTATATATAATTAACGAAAGTAACAATTGTCCAATTATGTAATTAAACATAAAATATCCTTATATTTGTAAAAAACTTATTAAATGATTATGACCTATTTTTTTAGCATTAAAATTTAATAAAAGAATCTGACTTAAAAATCTTATAACAGAACACTCATTGGATAGTAAATTTCATTGAACTCATACACTGCATTTTTGGGGTACTCCAGATGTTACATTTCAATTAAGAAATATCGTAGTAACATAGTTGTTCCTTTAAAAATCACATAAATTAGGTTGAGAAATAGAGAAATTGGAACTGAGAACTTTCTGGATAAATGATTCCATCGAACTAATCTACTACTTACTTTGGGATCTAAAATTTTAACTTTTCATTTGCGAAATCATTTTCTTGTAACAGTGTAATGTTATAGCAGACATGAAAATATTTATATAACACTCACAGAGATACGAAAGTTTAATATTGGTTTTTGTAATTTTTTGATGAATCATAAAAAGAGACACAAATTTCAAATTTTGCTATTTCACATAATGACTTTGTAATGTTGAATTTATATATAATTAACGAAAGTAACAATTGTCCAATTATGTAATTAAACATAAAATATCCTTATATTTGTAAAAAACTTATTCAATGATTATGACCTATTTTTTTAGCAATAAAATTTAATAAAAGAATCTGAATTAAAAATCTTATAACTGAACACTCATTGGATAGTAAATTTCATTCAACTCATCCACTGCATTCTTGGGGTACTCCAGATGTTATATTTCGTTTAAGAAATATCATAGTAACATAGTTGTTCCTTTAAAAATCACATAAAATAGGTTGAGAAATAGAGAAATTGGAACTGAGAACTTTCTGGATAAATGATTCCATTGAACTAATCTACTACTTACTTTGGGATCTAAAATTTAAACTTTTCATTTGTTGAATCATTTTCTTGTAACAGTGTAATGTTATAGCAGTATAGAAAATATTTATATAACATTCACAGAGAAACCAAAGTTTAAGATTATTGGGTTTTGCAATTTTTTGATGAATCATAAAAAGAGACACAAATTTCAAATGTTGCTATTTCACATAATGACTTTGTAATGTTGAATTTATATATAATTAACGAAAGTAACAATTGTCCAATTATGTAATTTAACATAAAATATCCTTATATTTGTAAAAAACTTATTAAATGATTATGACCTATTTTTTTTAGCAATAAAATTTAATAAAAGAATCTGACTTAAAAATCTTATAACACAACACTCATTGGATAGTAAATTTTATTGAACTCATCCACTGCATTCTTGGGGTACTCCAGATGTTAAATTTCGTTTAAGAAATATCATAGTAACATGGTTGTTCCTTTAAAAATCACATAAAATAGGTTGAGAAATAGAGAAATTGGAACTGAGAACTTTCTGGATAAATGATTCCATCGAACTAATCTACTACTTACTTTGGGATATAAAATTTAAACTTTTCATTTGTGGAATCATTTTCTTGTAACAGTGTAATGTTATAGCAGTATAGAAAATATTTATATAACACTCACAGAGATACGAAAGTTTAATATTGGTTTTTGTAATTTTTTGATGAATCATAAAAAGAGACACAAATTTCAAATTTTGCTATTTTACATAATCACTTTGTAATGTTGAATTTATATATAATTAACGAAAGTAACAATTGTCCAATTATGTAATTAAACATAAAATATCCTCATATTTGTAAAAAACTTATTCAATGATTATGACCTATTTTTTTAGCAATAAAATTTATTAAAAGAATCTGAATTAAAAATCTTATAACTGAACACTCATTGGATAGTAAATTTCATTGAACTCATCCACTGCATTTTTGGGGTACTCCAGATGTTACATTTCAATTAAGAAATATCATAGTAACATAGTTGTTCCTTTAAAAATCACATAAAATAGGTTGAGAAATAGAGAAATTGGAACTGAGAACTTTCTGGATAAATGATTCCATTGAACTAATCTACTACTTACTTTGGGATCTAAAATTTAAACTTTTCATTTGTGGAATCATTTTCTTGTAACAGTGTAATGTTATAGCAGTATAGAAAATATTTATATAACATTCACAGAGAAACCAAAGTTTAAGATTATTGGGTTTTGCAATTTTTTGATGAATCATAAAAAGAGACACAAATTTCAAATGTTGCTATTTCACATAATGACTTTGTAATGTTGAATTTATATATAATTAACGAAAGTAACAATTGTCCAATTATGTAATTTAACATAAAATATCCTTATATTTGTAAAAAACTTATTAAATGATTATGACCTATTTTTTTTAGCAATAAAATTTAATAAAAGAATCTGACTTAAAAATCTTATAACACAACACTCATTGGATAGTAAATTTTATTGAACTCATCCACTGCATTCTTGGGGTACTCCAGATGTTAAATTTCGTTTAAGAAATATCATAGTAACATAGTTGTTCCTTTATAAATCACATAAAATAGGTTCAGAAATAGAGAAATTGGAACTGAGAACTTTCTGGATAAATGATTCCATCGAACTAATCTACTAATTACTTTGGGATCTAAAATTTAAACTTTTCATTTGTGGAATCATTTTCTTGTAACAGTGTAATGTTATAGCAGTATAGAAAATATTTATATAACATTCACAGAGAAACCAAAGTTTAAGATTATTGGGTTTTGCTATTTTTTGATGAATCATAAAAAGAGACACAAATTTCAAATGTTGCCATTTCACATAATGACTTTGTAATGTTGAATTTATATATAATTAACGAAAGTAACAATTGTCCAATTATGTAATTAAACAAAAAAAATATCCTTATATTTGTAAAAAACTTATTAAATGATTATGACCTATTTTTTTAGCAATAAAATTTAATAAAAGAATCTGACTTAAAAATCTTATAACAGAACACTCATTGGATAGTAAATTTCATTGAACTCATACACTGCATTTTTGGGGTACTCCAGATGTTACATTTCAATTAAGAAATATCGTAGTAACATAGTTGTTCCTTTAAAAATCACATAAATTAGGTTGAGAAATAGAGAAATTGGAACTGAGAACTTTCTGGATAAATGATTCCATCGAACTAATCTACTACTTACTTTGGGATCTAAAATTTTAACTTTTCATTTGCGAAATCATTTTCTTGTAACAGTGTAATGTTATAGCAGACATGAAAATATTTATATAACACTCACAGAGATACGAAAGTTTAATATTGGTTTTTGTAATTTTTTGATGAATCATAAAAAGAGACACTGTTAAGGGATAGGGGTAGTGAGGTCGGATAAGTAAGTTGACGAATATTTAGTTAAAGAACTATTCTTTATTTTCGTTCAAAAGTACAAAAGATGAGGACCGGCAAAAGTCTCAAGCCTCGGGCGAGACAGACGACTTTGAGATCGAAAGAATCTCATGGGAGGATCTCAAAGGTCAGCTCGCGAAAGTTTACCGAAAAGGCGATCAATGATTCCATGCGATCGAACGATTCTCAAGAGGATCGCATGGTGATCACCTCGTGGTCTCAAGAACTCACTCGTCTCAGAATCAACAATAAAATAGTATAACTCAATAACACAACACATTCACACAAAACCAGAACACAATATATGTAAAAATCAATTAAATTAGTATATAATACACAAGGGGTGCCGTACACCCACCAGGTGAAAGCACCTGCACGTGGGAGCTGAGCGATCTCACCAATAGTAGTAACCCACAGCGTTGAGGTTCCCCAAGATTGAACTGCCAGAGACACGCACCGTCCAAGCTGCAAGCGATGGAGAAAATTCGTAAGGCAGGAACCACTATTCTCGAACCACAGTAATTCATCGACTGACTCAATTCTCCTTGTCTCAAGAAGGATGCCCCCTTCTTCAGCCTGTAATGAAAACCGGGGGGAAAAACGTTCCCGTAGGACAAAGGGAAAGGGAAAACTTTACCTGGATGGGCACAATGAGCATGACGTAAGGAAAAAAGGGGAAACTGGTCAATAATATTGCAAAATACCTGCTTAGTTATAAAACTAAGACCTTTTCTCAGGTAACTGGAATGAGCGTGAAATGAAAAAGAAACCGAGACATACAAGCCTCTAACTATTCAACGAATATATTCTAACTTTTTTAAACATTCCGCCCGCCTTCGTTATGCAATAACGAAATTATTCCCCATTGATTGGAATAGGAAGGGGGCAAAGCTTAACAATGGGTCGTGTAACTGTACTAGTCTGGGTTTTCACACTTGCGACGCGGACTAAACCATCCTTTCCAGGGTGAGTCTGAACTACACGGCCAAGTGGCCATTTGGATGGGGGGTAACGATCGTCGATGATTAATACGATTGCTCCCACCGAGACAGGTTCAGATGATCGGTTCCATTTATATACTGCCTGGTAACGCTGGAGACATTCACGCGACCATTTAACCCAAAAAGTCTCCATCATCTGGCGTATTCGCTGCCATCGGTTAAGCTGGTTTACATTTATACTGTCTAAAGAAGGTTCAGGCAAAACATTCAAGGGGTGACCGATTAAAAAATGGCCTGGAGCAATATCAGCACACAACACGAATTCAAATTGACGCCATCATAAAATGATGGAGCAAATATCTGTTTGTAATTTTGGACCGATGTGTAAAATGTCATTAATCGAGGTTTTGTTGGACGTTGGACTCGAAGCATTAAAGACGACTCTAACTTTCGTTGTTTGGCTACTTTCGCGAACGACAGGGTGGTGCGGAATAAAGACACGAGATGAATCAGTCTGGTCAACGTCAACTGGAGTCATGTGTCCCATCTCTTGATACTTTCCTAGAAAATCACGATAATTTTCAGCAAGCAGAGGATCACGAGTAAATCTTTTTTTTATACTACACAACGAATTGAGAGCTATGTTATAAGAGTCACCTAATTTCGAGGGGGAATCATCAAAAGGTAATTGAACTACATATTTTCCATTTAAGTCTCTAAAATGTGTCTCCATAAAATGATGCTCACATTCAATTTCTTTTTTTGTCATTAAATTCACTGCTGGTATCTCTTTCAATTCCCAAAATTGACGCAAGCTTTCGTCAACTCGGGTTTCCATGGAAAAGTGGACATTAATGTGATAACTTTGAAGAGGAGATCCTTGTAGTGGTCCTGATAAGATCCAACCAAATATAGTTGACTGAGCAACGAGATCTCCACGTGGTCCAGGACTAATCTCAGGTTTGAGCAATTGAGCGTACAGATCGGCTCCAATCAGCAAATCGATCCGGTCACTTTCCCATGGATTTAGATCGGCAAGTTCGAGACTTTGAAGATTTTCAGGAATTTCTAAAAGGGTAAATTCAGCTGGAACATATGCAGTGATTTTTGGAAGTACGAATGCTTGAGTTTGGAGCGTGGTTGAACAAGGTTTAATCGTTTAAATAGTGATAGGAACGGAATGAAGGATTTTATTCGTACAACTTCCTCCCAAACCGGACACTGTAACATTCGTATTTTTGCGTGGAAGACGTAATAATTGAGCAATTAATTCGGACAAAAACGTAGCTTCTGACACTTGGTCAAGAAGACCTCGGACATGAACGCGGCGGCCATCAGGCGCCTCAACCATCACTCGAGCGGTTGCCAACAGAACAGTAGTGCGGTATTTTTAGACGAGTTCAAATGCGATGAAATCGCCACATCATCAGACACTTGATTTGATTCTGAAACGCTATGATCAGTTTTTAATTCGCGACTTTGTGACAAATTTTTATTATCGCGATGCAATAAAGAATCATGAGGCTTTTTACAAATATTACAAAATTTTCGGCTCTGACATAAATTGCGATTATGCTTACCTAAACAGTTGAAGCATCGTGAATTAGCCTTTAAATATTCAGAACGTTCATCAATTGTTTTTTCTTTAAATACAGAACAAGCATAGAGGTTATGTTCTCTGTTACACATTGGACATACAAACTTTGTTGAGTTTTGATGCGTGTGTACCTTCTTGAGTACCGACTGCGAATGATTTGAATTTTTACTTTCAGGACGCTTTTTAATATCTACTGTAGCTTCTAAAGCGCGAATTCGAGAATCAAGAAATTTAACAAATTGATCAAGAGAGGGAGGATCTGTCTCTTCACTAATTGACAATTCCCACTGATCACGAGAAATTTTATCTAACTTGTTTATTAACATAAAAACTAACAAATCATTCCCCTCATCGATAGGACGTTTTAGACTTTTTAAAGCAGATGTCGCAGTAATAACAACGTTACGCATAGTTTTTAAATTATTCAACCAATCTGATGTGACAGGTGGCAATTCAACAATCTTTTTTAAATATTCATATATTAAAACTTTAGAATTACTATAACGAGTTTCGAGATTTTCACAAATATTCTGAAAATTGCCATCTGTCCCTGGTTGATTTTGAGCAACTATTAATGCCTCACCTTTAAGAGATGATTTGAGATAATGAAGACGCTCTGCATCCGACAAGCGATCGTTGTCAGTTACAAGAGATTTAAACAGATCTCTAAAGGTGAGCCACTCACAATACGAACCTGAGAAAGTGGGTATAGTAATGCGAGGAAGTTTTACAGATGATGATGCTCCTCGTGGCGTTGCATCTGGATCTGGTGGTTGAGAACGGTCTTGTACCGGCATGGGCGGTGGCTCAGGAAGACTGCTAAGTATGTGGTATATGGCCTCCTCATACAAGTCCTCAATCTGATTAAACTCATCAGAATTATAAATTGTAATTGTTGTCTCTCCTCCTTCGGCTTGATTAGGAGGATCTATTATTGGAGGATTTGCAAGTAAAGCGGCATGATTTTGTCGACACCTCAGCCAGCAATCTTGTAAATTTGTTAGGCGTCCTAACAACAGTTGTCGAGGTGGATTTTCGTAATTTAAAACACGATTAACAATCTTTTTGATAGAGTTAAATAGAGTTTCTTGGTCACTTAACACTCGTTCATAACTAGTCGTAGCCATGTTTGTTGCAGGAAAAATGGCCGACCACGCTACGTAAAATATAGTGAAAAAAATTTTTCATGAAAAAAGGTTCTCGATACTGAGAAAAAAAGTAAAATAGCACCAAAATATTGCGGAAAAAACACAATAAAGTCTTAAAAAAAGTACTTTTTGACTATTCAAGTCACTTGAGAGAATAAAAAAATGCAATATATAAAGGAAAAATCCCTTAAGCGTCACTTAACACAAAGCACTGATTTCACTTTCTTTTCTCCTTTTTGGAAATCCGGCTCGAAGGACCATGTTATGAATTTAAACAGTTTAACATAAAGGACTTGTGAAAAAAAGGAGAATAAGATAGTGAAAGTAAAATTAACACTGAATTTATTAACTTATTTGAGATAAAACAGGTAAAGCGATTTTTACAGAGCGGTTCTATATGATGCGTACGAAAGACAAACAGAAACTAAAAACTTCGCAGATACGACTACATACGACGCACATAACACAGGCACACAAAAAAAAAAAAGTTGTCTGTTTCTTGAACTACACATATATTTCCTATAGTATTTTGGCCCGCTGAAACCGAATCTGAGCTCAGAATTGCTCCATCACCCTCAGTTTTTTTTTAAATCGACCAAAACCACCCTTAAACGGACAAATTCACACTTCGGAGATAAAAAATAAATCAACTTATTTTTTAAAAAAACCAAATTTTATATCTACGAAACTTTGCTCCACTAACTCAAAAACAAAGCCAGCATTGATCCAGCACCCCCTGAATTTTTTTTAATGAAAAAACTACCCCTAATCTGAAGAATCAAATTCAGGTGGTAAAACAATAAAATAACTAATTAAAAAATTTTATAACCAGGTATTTTTACTCCAGCAAGGCAGAAACAAAGCCAGAAATGCTCCCTCACCCTCTAAAATTTTTTTAAATCGAAAAAACCACCCTTAAATAGAAAAATTCAAATTTAAGAAGTAAAAAAATATTAAATTACCGGCTTTTTTAAAAACAGATCCTTACATGTTTGTAGTTTTGCTCTACTAACTCAAAAAAACAAAGCCAGCATTGATCCAGCAACCCCCGAATTTTTTTAATCGAAAAAACTACCCCTAATCTGAAGAATCAAATTCAGGAGATAAAACAATAAAATAACTGATTAAAAAATTTTATAACCAGGTATTTTTACTCCAGCAAGGCAGAAACAAAGCCAGAAATGCTCCCTCACCCACTAAATTTTTTTTTAAATCGAAAAAACCACCCTTAAATATAAAAATTCAAATTTAGGAGAATAAAAATTAAATAACTGACTTTTTTAAAACAGAACCTTACTACATCTATGTATTTCCGCTCCACTAACTCAAAAACAAAGCCAGCATTGATTCATCAACCTCTGAATTTGTTTAATCGAAAAAACTACCCCTAATCTGAAGAATCAAATTCAGGAGGTAATACAATATAATAACTGATTGAAAAATTTTACAGCCAGGTATGTTTCCGCATTGCTGGAGTAAAAATACCTAGTTATAAACTTTTTTAATCAGTTATTTTATTGTTTTACCTCCTAAGTTTGATTGTTCAGGTTAAGGGTAGTTTTTTTATTTAAAAAAATTCAGAGGGTGATGGATCAATGCTAGCTTTATTTTTTTGAGTTAGTAGAGCAAAACTACATACATGTAAGGTTCTGTTTTTAAAAAAAGCCGGTAATTTAATATTTTTTTACTTCTTAAATTTGAATTTTTCTATTTAAGGGTGGTTTTTTCGATTTAAAAAAAATTTTAGAGGGTGAGGGAGCATTTCTGGCTTTGTTTCTGCATTGCTGGAGTAAAAATATCTGCTTATAAAATTTGTCAATCAGTTATTTTATTGTTTCATCTCCTGAATTTGATTCTTCAGATTAGGAGTAGTTTTTTCGATTAAAAAAATTCAGGGGGTGATGGGTCAATGCTGGCTTTATTTTTTTTAATTAGTAGAGCAAAACTACAAACATGTAAGGATCTGTTTTTAAAAAAGCCGGTAATTTAATATTTTTTTACTTCTTAAATTTGAATTTTTCTATTTAAGGGTGGTTTTTTCGATTTAAAAAAATTTTAAAGGGTGAGGGAGCATTTCTGGCTTTGTTTCTGCATTGCTGGAGTAAAAATATCTGGTTATAAAATTTTTTAATCAGTTATTTTATTGTTTTACCTCCTGAATTTGATTCTTCAGATTAGGGGTAGTTTTTTCGATTAAAAAAAATCAGGGGGTGCTGGATCAATGATGGCTTTGTTTTTTTGAGTTAGTAGAGCAAAACTATAAACATGTAAGGTTCTGTTTTTAAAAAAAGCCGGTAATTTAATATTTTTTTACTTCTTAAATTTGAATTTTTCTATTTAAGGGTGGTTTTTTCGATTTAAAAAAATTTTAGAGGGTGAGGGAGCATTTCTGACTTTGTTTCTGCCTTGCTGGAGTAAAAATACCTGGTTATAAAATTTTTTAATTAGTTATTTTATTGTTTTACCACCTGAATTTGATTCTTCAGATTAGGGGTAGTTTTTTCATTAAAAAAAATTCAGGGGGTGCTGGATCAATGCTGGCTTTGTTTTTGAGTTAGTGGAGCAAAGTTTCGTAGATATAAAATTTGGTTTTTTTAAAAAATAAGTTGATTTATTTTTTATCTCCGAAGTGTGAATTTGTCCGTTTAAGGGTGGTTTTGGTCGATTTAAAAAAAAACTGAGGGTGATGGAGCAATTCTGAGCTCAGATTCGGTTTCAGCGGGCCAAAATACTATAGGAAATATATGTGTAGTTCAAGAAACAGACAACTTTTTTTTTTTGTGTGCCTGTGTAATTAAAAAATTTTATAACCAGGTATTTTTACTCCAGCAAGGCAGAAACAAAGCCAGAAATGCTCCCTCACCCTCTAAAATTTTTTTAAATCGAAAAAACCACCCTTAAATAGAAAAATTCAAATTTAAGAATTAAAAAAATCTTAAATTACCGGCTTTTTTAAAAACAGATCCTTACATGTTTGTAGTTTTGCTCTACTAACTCAAAAAAACAAAGCCAGCATTGATCCAGCAACCCCCGAATTTTTTTAATCGAAAAAACTACCCCTAATCTGAAGAATCAAATTCAGGAGATAAAACAATAAAATAACTGATTAAAAAATTTTATAACCAGGTATTTTTACTCCAGCAAGGCAGAAACAAAGCCAGAAATGCTCCCTCACCCACTAAATTTTTTTTTAAATCGAAAAAACCACCCTTAAATATAAAAATTCAAATTTAGGAGAATAAAAATTAAATAACTGACTTTTTTAAAACAGAACCTTACTACATCTATGTATTTCCGCTCCACTAACTCAAAAACAAAGCCAGCATTGATTCATCAACCTCTGAATTTGTTTAATCGAAAAAACTACCCCTAATCTGAAGAATCAAATTCAGGAGGTAATACAATATAATAACTGATTGAAAAATTTTACAGCCAGGTATGTTTCCGCATTGCTGGAGTAAAAATACCTAGTTATAAACTTTTTTAATCAGTTATTTTATTGTTTTACCTCCTAAGTTTGATTGTTCAGGTTAAGGGTAGTTTTTTTATTTAAAAAAATTCAGAGGGTGATGGATCAATGCTAGCTTTATTTTTTTGAGTTAGTAG